AGAGGTATATAGCACTGTTTTGACTGGTCAATGCACACATCTAGATTGAGTTACCTGACTAGTTCTGCTCCACAGCATCACAGGATGATAGAGGTTGGAAGGCACCTCTGGAGGCCTTTTGGTCCAGTCCCCTGCTCAGTCAGCAACATCCAGAGGACATAAATGAGAACCATGTCCAACCAGCTTTTGCATATCTCAGGGAAGGAGATATTCCACAACCAATCTGGGCAGGCTGTCTGAGTAATCAGTCACCGTTTGTCATGAAGCAGTATTTCAAAGCTTGCATCTTCCAGCAAGCCAACAACAACAACAAAAAGCGGTGGCTTGCTTGTGATAGAGCACTCATTGTTAAGGAAGTTGAATTGTGATTTACTCAGTTTTCAAAAATGATTTTATACTAAGAATTTAAAAAAGAAAAGAAAAAAAAGCTTTGAGATACCTGCTTTGTTTAGCTAACTTGTTATGCAGCCTGTTAGGTCAGAGAGAAGGAGACCTTGATTGCAGTGTTTCATCTCATTCTAAATTTTGAAAGGAGATAATGAATGAGCTTTGAAATTCCTCCTTTTCTCTGCCATGCTTGATGTTGGTTTGGGATTCATGCTGCTCAGGCAATTTAAAAAAGATATTGTTCAGCATTTCCTTTTTTGACCCATTCTAAATATTGAAAGGTTTTTAAGGTTTAAGTTGTTTTTTGAAATTTTTTGACATAAATATGGAGGAAAAAGATCTACAGGATTTGAAAAGGATTCAGTGTTTATCGAGTTATGCTTTATTAATAGCAATAACATTGTAAACATGCTTCAATGATTGTTTAGAATGAAGCAAAATAGTTAATGTATAGAGTAGGGAAAAAGAATTTAAGGTCACAAATATTGTAGTAGGATTTCTTTTCTTTTTAAATTATTAATGTGTCTGCAATAGAGATTACTGTAGTTGGTTATGCTGTTCCTGTTGTATATGGAGTGAAAAATACAGGGATATTGCCATGTGTAAGCTATACACAGGTTCTGCAGCCTCATATTAATGTGAAATTTAGTGTCATTCAGTAGGAATATGAGAAAAAATGTAGCCATGTGTCACCCAAAAATAAACTACTGTATTTGATTCCCAGGGTGTAGACACACTGAGCTGATGCACTGGCTTGGGATGCGTTTTTGCCACTTCTGAGCTAGCAAGGAGGCATGAAGTGATCATAGAATCAGATAGGTTGGAAAAGACCTTTGAGATAGAGTCCAACCACCAACCTGCCTTGTCCAGTCTTATCATTAAACAAAGTCCCTTAGTGCCACATGCAGTACAGGGTTGTGAACCATTCAGTGGACCACATAGGAGGTGATAACTTAGGTGGAGTTTCTTTCCACTTTTTGAGAGAGGCTGGGTCTTATGCACCCTAGTGAGTTATATTTTACTTGAAAACATCTGGAGACTTGTTTTCTGATGCTTCTAATTACTTGTCTAGCATTTGAAAGACTGAGCTGGCTGTCTTTCTAGACTACCATAGTGTTTTGCATTTTATTCTGCCTATTTTCTTGAGAAAATGGGGATTATAAAGTTGTACCTTCTGAATAGGTCTGTCATTATCTCCATTTTTCATACTTTAACACGTTTGAAACAGATTCGAGATAAGTTGCATAGCCTCTTTTTCCAGAATTTCTATGAAAGTTTGTCTTTGATTAATTCTCCAAGTATGGGAGAAACAGAGCATGAGCTAAATTCTTACAAGACAACAATAATTCATGTTGTTCTTTGTTGTGAAAGTACATATTCAGAGATCAAGCTTCTCTGATTCTGCTGAAATATAACTTGTTGGGGAGGGCAGGTTTCTCGTGCATATTTTGTGGAGTTCAGAATGGTGATTTGACTCTTAGTTATAAATGTATGAATTTTAGATTTGGGGTGATTATTATTATTTTTAAGTCTGAATATTTTAGGATGATGCAAATTATTCCATTATACTTTCAGCCATAAATCCAAATGCAGTTTTAACACGGTAAAGCAATTGAATATTTAAAAACTGGATAAGCTGCTTTGTTTCAAATAAACCATAGTATTAAGAAAAACAAAAATGAATGTTCTCTGCTTCTAGTTCAATTTTTATGCCTATGATAATGCAATCACTTTTGTCATACAAGTAAATAAAATGGTGTCATGCTTGTGACTCCTTAACGAAGCATTAGATTGGAAAATAACCGATTGTATTACGAGACAATGATTTTGCTGTTATTGTCATGAAAAGGTTGAAATGAATAATTTAGCAAATGTTAATAGCGTAAGTAAGATATTCTAAGTTCACAGCAGGGTATAATGAATTTTTTCTCCAACACATTTGCAAAAATAATAACCTTTCAATTACTATTACTGATGTCTCCTTTTAGTATCAACCATTGCAATCTCAAGCTGATTCTGCTCAGTTCTTCATTAAATCAAATTTTAAGAGTTTTCTATGCATCTTAAAAAGTATAAGAAAGACTACCAAAAGTAGTATGAGAGACCGTGTCAAAAGCCTTGCTGAAGTCAAGGTAGTCAACATCCACTGCTGTCCCCCTCGTCTACCTAGCTGGTCATGATGTCATAGAAGGCTATCAGACTGATAAAGCACGATTTCTCCTTAGTGGATCTGTGTTAACTAATCCTGGTAAATTCCTTTTCTTCTACGTGCTTGGAGAAGATATCCAGAATAAGTTGTTTCATCAGCTTTCCAAGGACAGAGGTGAGGCTGACTGGTCTGTAGTTTCCCAGGTTCTCCTTCTTGCCCTTTTTGAAGACTGGAGTGATGCTGGCTTTTCCTCCAGTCCTCAGGCACCTCTCTTGTTCTCCCTGACCTTTCAAAGATTGTGGAGAATGGTTCAGTAACCACTTCTGCCAGCTCCTTTAGCAGTCATGTCTGTATCCTGTTGAGGCCCATGGATTTGTGTGTGTTGAATTTGCCTAGATGATCTCTAACCAGATCCTCCTCGACCATGGGGAAGTCTTCCTTTCCCACGACTCTCTCTTTTACCTTCAGGGTCTAGGATTCCCGAGGGCCAGTCTTTGCAGTAAAGACTGAAGCAAGGAAATTATTCAGTAACTCTGCTTTCTCTGTGTCCTCCATAGCCAGGGCAGCCACCTCATTCAGCAGCAGGGCCATGTTTTCCTTGGTTTTCCTTTTGCTATCAATATATTTAAGAAAGCCTTTCTTGTTGTCCTTAACCATCCTCACCAGATTTAATCCTAGATGGGCCCTAGTCATCTTTGTTGCATCCCTGTGCCCCAGCTGCTTTTCTGTTTTCCTTCCAAGTGGCCAGATCCTTTCTCCTCAGTCCATAAACTTCCTTTTTCCATTTAAGTTTTTTCTATTAGCTCTTTACTCATCCATGTGGGTCTCCTGCCACTTTTGCCTGATTTCTTAATCTTAGAGGTTCAGTGGTCTCGAGCTTGAAAGAAGTGATGCTTGAATGTTAACAAACTCTTTTGGGTCCCTTTTCCTTCCAATACTTTACCCTGTGGGATAGTGCCAAGTTGGTTCTTGAAGGGGTTGTTGTTGGCTCTCCTGATGTGCAGGGTTGCAATTTGACTTCTTGCCCTGTTTTTTCCACACAAAACCTTGAACTTCACTATCTCATGGTTGCTGTAGCCAAGGCTGCCTCCGACGTTGACTTCCTCAGCTAGCCTTTTTGTATGAACTAAATCCAATAGCATGCTTCTTACTGTCTCCTTCATCACCTGGATCTGGAAGTTATCCTTCACATACTCCCGACGTCTCCTGGATGGCTTGCAGCCCACCATTATGGCCTACTATGTGTGGGCTTTATGAAATAAATGATTTTTTCACTGGAGATATTTTGCTCTGGGTCTTGTAATAATATATGCTCAGTTTATTTTATTCTTCGTTGCTGGATTTTGCTTTCAAATTTTTAGTGAAGCTTGTCATTTGTACTGCTGAAATGTATCGTAAGTTGTGTAACTGATGTTCTGTTTCAGGCAGTTATGATAGCTTTAGTATTTTACTGTCTGGAGAATAACTAGTTTCGAGAGAGTATCTGAGGCAGTTTCTGACCTGCAATGTCCTTGGTGTTGGAGGAACACACCCTTATGATTATCTCTGTTACATCTATGGCAGTAAGAGTAGGATGATCCCTTTTCCCTCTGCTTCAGTTCATCACTTGCAGCCTCTTCCAGATAGGCACTAATGCAGTATGTCTGTTACCTAGCAGAGTCTTAACACAGCTGCTCTGCAGCGGAACCCTCTACACATCCTGTAGGAAACAAAATGTATAGGAAAAGAGCAGGGCGATTAGGGCAGAAAAAGAATGGAGAGGTTAATGGGAATATGGTCTCTGGATAGCAAAGAAGTTGCAAATTAAAATGTCAGGTACATATGGAATAGAGTAAAATTATGAACGCTTTCTTACAGTGCTCTCTGCCCAAAAATCAATGTTGGTTATAGCCACTCTGACCTGTAGAGCTGGACTGGGAAAGCCAATGCTGACCATAAATGCTGCTTGTCAGTTTAGCTTTTAATATGTTCACAGGATGTGCTTCACAGTACTTTCCCTCAGACTTTTGTAGTCAGGCAATTTAAACTCAGTTGTGTTGGTTTTCTACATAAGAAACTTTAAAGATGTTTAGGAGTAGTTTATTACCTACTAGTTTCAGCTTGCATAAGGCTTGAGGAAAAAATATTTTAATTCTGGCATACTCGTCATATAAATATCACTGTATTTGATAGTATGTTGATATTTGCTTGAGAATCTGAAAATTAAATTGCTTATATCATTTTAATTGAATGAAACAAATTCAGGTATGAAATGATAATTGGATGAAATAATTTCTTCCATTTTAACGTGATTTATTTTACCTGTCAGTATTTCTTTTTTAAATTCTCCAGCTAATTGTCCAGTTAAATTGTTACATCTCATTCTCATTTTCAGTCTTTGAAGTATAAACACTGATTGTGATGAAGGGCAAATCGAAACAAATATGTGCTTTGTACTGACTGCATTTTTATGCTTCATTTGAAGGTCATTCTGTGAGACTGCTTGGTCAGAAAAAGGATAATGGAAAACGTTTGGGGGGAGCACGACTGGATTTACCAAAGATCAGGAAGAATCCACTTATAGAAATCATTTCCATCAATACAGGGTAAGAATCTTCCAAACATAAAATATTTAGTTCTTCTGAGGAATTGCCTAGTTTATAATTTCAGAGTTAAAAAGGAAAGGAAGAATGATCACTTTTAAATTGTAAATGATTTTAAATGTCTTCTTTCTGGAAAATAAACCCCTACTTAATTAGGTGCAAGTCTTCTGCTGTTCCAGGACTGCAAGCAATCGTTCAGTCCTCTTTCTTCATCTAAGCATTTCTCAGAAGTAAAATTCCAAAGAAAGCTGGAGAATTAAAAATACTATGAGATTTGCTCCTCAGCTCTTTTGGCTTGGAAGGCAATTCTGGAATATCATTTGTAGTTGTTTAAGCTCTGTAAACACCTGATTGTCAGCTCTGCTATATAAGTGGCTAAATTAGACATATTTGTTTCTAGCCCCTCTGATACATTTCTAAGAGTTTTCGTGCTCATATTTCAACCTTTGCTTTGTTAAAAAAAAATAAAGCTAGTCTCTGCCCATCAAGCAACTCTAGATGTCTATTTTTCTATACATTTATGAGTGTTTTTCTGCTCTGAGGAATTCCATCTGCAATCTCTCTTCCCTTGATGCTTTTCTGTTCTCCACTCAATTATCTACCATTTGGTCAGTTTCCTAAAAACACAAACAGAAGTCCCCCATACAAGTCTCCTCTGATTTTTCCCATCTTCTTCAACTTACATAGTAATTTCCCAGGTGATGAATATAAAATGTGTTATTCTAGGCATCTTAGGTCAATGAGAACTTACAGCCTAGAGGAAGAAAAGCATGAAATATATTAGAACTGTTTTCACTTTAGTCTAGCACTTTCATAAACATTTCATGAATCAGTTAAGCTACTATCCTCTTTCTCTTGTTTCCTTTTCTGTAAACAATTGTTCCTTCTTAATTTGATGTAAAATCTAGTGTTCTATTTAGGGCAGAATATCAGTTCAAGACTGAAGTGTGGTTATTTTTTCTTCCTCTGACCATAAGTATAGAGATGACTTTTTTTTTTCACGTTGAATTGTGATACTTTTAAACTGCAGGCTCATGCCTGGATCATTTTGATGTCTGTGTATAAGATTGTCTGCTACAGTTATTTTAAGTGTTCAGAACTTTTCTTTCCATATCGTCTTTCCTGTAAATGACTTCTCTTTTCATGATTAAAAGCAAAATATTCTTTTACATTTGATTATGCCTATGTTTCAGGTGTTACAATTTTTCTTTTCCATTGATATTCGTAACTAATGTAATAAAACATTTCTAATTGTAAATGTTGCCAAGAATGCAAACTGGTTTATGTGTGGTCTTGTTTACCTGTCAATTCATGTCTAATAGCACATTGAAATGGTACTGGCAGTGATAATTTTATCAGGTTACGGCTTCGTGGAAACGAAACAGGCTACTGCAGATTGTATGCATTTACCATTAGATAGCTGATTAGTAGCAACCTTTTTTTTTACAGGGCTTTTTTTTTTTATTTTCCTTTTTTTTTTAATTTTTCTTTTTTTGGTTTTAAAACAAGGCTGTCTCCAAACTGATCAAGCTGAAGACAAGAAACACCTCTCTAAGATATTACCTTGGGCAAACTTTTTCTTTAGTACACGAGAGTTTACAAACCCTTATCACTTTCACTAGTAATTAGTGCTATTCTTATGCCAATACAATATGTATTTTATATCTCAGAGTAACCTAAGTAACAGTAGAAGTCACAAGGGTACATTTATTTAATGAAGAATTAGGTCCAGTACAGACAAGAGCGTTCTCAAAGCCTCAAACTTGAAAGTCAGTTCTATGAGGCATCTGAATAACTAATGTCCCACTCAATATTACATGCTCAGGGAATCTTGTCTCCTGTGAAATACAGATTATTGCTTTCTTTCCCATTCTCCTCCTTCCCAGTGTCTCCACCTGTGTGCTGCAGGTGACTTTTTAGTTAGTACTGGCATTTTGAAAATTAAACTGTGGCTTTATGAAGACAACAACAGCATTCAATTTTCTCAAAATGTAAAAAAAAAAATAACCAGTGAGGAACAAGACAGAATATATATTACTGATTCTGATTTGACTGTGCTTGTTTTATCTGCTTTGTCTTCGTAATTGCCTGTGGCAATTTTTAGTGTGGATGCCACGTCGGATCTGTGCTGTTTTCTGTGTGTAAAGACTGCAAGAATCTTTAAAGATTAGTTTCGGTACAGTGTTCTTTATTGAGAGATTAATTACGTCAGACTGAACTGTCTCAAAATAGTGAGAAATACCAAGTTAAAAATAGTGGTTTCCTTCTCGGAGATACGTCTGTGTGGTGCTGTTGACTGATAGCATCCAGGATCAGTGTGAATAGGGCTGCTCAGTGAAGGAGCATGAGAAGGAATCAGGGGTGCCAGTAGCTCAGACAGTCCCTTCATCACTGGGACCCTGCTGGTGGTCTGAGCACTGCACACAGAGATTGGATGGGGGCAGGAGCCATCAACAGGCAATAAGGCAGGGTGGGGGCTGTAAACAGGCATGCTGTAAGCCCAGGGCAGGCCTGGGAACACAGGCCTGAGCATATCAGGATGGCCAGGGATGGCCAGGGTGGGTGAGGCCTGCTGGTGCCCTCAGAGCTGTGACAAGTGGTGGTGGTGGTGTTTTACCGTATTGAAGCAGGGTTTAACGAACTCTTGGCCTCTTCTGTGAGGCTTGGAACACATGTATACCTCAACCCCAAAGGGCTGGGATCTGTGATGGCTTCTGCTAGCCCCTTTCCCTCTCCATTAATGCACATACCATTATGGATGTGGACACCTGGAGCTGTTCTGGGAGTTCAGGTAGCTTTGGAGAGTCTTCAAAAGTGCTGATTATTAAACTATCTCTAATTTTTGTAAAACTGTGTCTGAGAACATGGGTGCAATTGAACTGCAGGAGAGTAAGAACTGATTTTTAACTCAAGTTCGTATTGTTTTCTCCCTCAAACATGGAGGATAAAAAATTCCCTGTTCTGAAAGGTTCAGTCTAGGTACAGTCATGAACATTTTTTCTCACTTGCCTATATACTGATACATGCACAAATACAAATTAATCCCTTTCAATGCTTTTTTTCCTAGACTGCTACTATACATGAGCCTGTTCTGTTGAATGAATTGTGTCTGTCTGCCAAGGGACATATATATTGTCTCAATTACAGTATGTAAATAACATACTGTCATTTTAAAAAAAAAAAAAAAGGAATATCTGTGGAGATAATTGCTTCTGCTGCATCCGAGAGCCACCTCGAGGTTCTCACACAGCACATTTACTCTTTGAAAGGTGATGCTGTGTCCTTAAAGGGAACTGGACCTTGTTCAGTGTTTGCCTTTGTCTAATTTTTTCTATTGCTAATCTTAGATTGCTCTCAGGTTTTCTGTTTTCTCATTTAGAAATCCAAGCTATCTTTTTCTTTTCAATTTACCATGGCAGTTTGTGATTCTGTCTAGAAACTGTGACTCTAGGGAAAACCTTCTAGGCCAGGAGCAACATTTCAGCATGTTTGAGTATGTTCATAAAGAATTCTTTGGTGAGTGCCACAACAGGGGCATAAGAGACTTATCAGACTGCTCTGATGCACAAATAAACATAAGCGGATCTTAATTTTTTCATGTATCAGATACATAAGGAGGCTTTTTGATGCCAGTATATTATATATGCTTTGACTCCCATAGCTTTCCCCTTATTCATAATTCCCCTTTCTTTGTATATGGTTTGATGTTACTGTTTTAAAAAGCAATTCAGTACTTTTCAATCAATCATTAATTTCTTTTTTTTCATATAATAAGCAGTTAAAGTCCATGATTCCAGCAGAGTGTGGATAGTTGTATTAATATCTAGCAAGTTCTGCAGCGATAGTAATAGGTATGAATCTAGAACATTTGTTCATGTCTTCCCAAATCTGCTTTGAATTCAAGACATTTGGTTCCATCTCTTTCTCTGTTGTTCATGGCATAGCATGTATTTTGCAGATCATTTGCAGGTAGTACTAATAGGATGCCATGTTAAATGCTGTATGGAGAGAAGGGATGGAGTTGTTTGGTCACCCTAATGTGATTTTTTCCATCAGATTGAAATAAGAAAGTGGCGTGTTCTGGAATCATTTTTGCATTACAGCTTCATTTTGGTCTAGGGAAAAAATCTTAGTTCCTCTTTTTAATCTAATCTTCATTAGTGCCAATCTCATAATCTATCTAGCTAGTCAGAGAACTCTCTTGGGATGTGAACTAAGTCTTCCACCTTTTCATTATATAATTATCTATCCTGAATCTCTACAGCTTTAACTATTACTTACTGATGTAACTTGTTGCTGCTGTGACCCAAGCTCCCTTCTACCCGAGCTGCTACAGCTCACATACACTCCAAATATAATTTCATTTGTGCTTGTTGGATGCTTTGGGAAGCATGGAGGGAGTGCAGTATGAGTTGTATGAGCTGAATGTGAGCCTATACCAGAAGTTACTGTTGGGTGGTTTGCATGCATTTGCTGAATTGCTTTCTGTGCCCTGAAGTGGTCATTCAGAATGTTCCTAAACTGATGATGAATCCAAATTTAGCAAAAGAATTAAAAAAAAAAAAAAAAAAAAAAAAGTAGTTCTACTTACAGTAGTTGGTTTGTTTTATAAATCAAGCAATCAAAAAATCATCAAAAAAAACCCCACAGCTGTGAAGTTACTGTCTTTAATCCTGACATTCTGAGGCAAAAACACTTCACTGGTTATGAATTATGAAAGGTTAAATTCTACTCCTTCATCATTTTCTGTCATAAGCAGTTTTTCAGTTTTATGATGAGTTGGGAAATACGAGGATTGAATTTTCTCCAAGAATTGCTTTTTAATTTTATATGAAGTCACATTATATTCTGTCTACATAATGCATTTCAGCATTTGCTTAGCATCGAGTCATAAAATACTCCAGAATTACATAGACATGAAAGTGCAGGTTATCCTGTTGGTTTTTGTTTGTTTTTGTTTTTGATTCTGCAAAAACTTTTCTCATGTTACAGAAGTTTATAAT